GATATTATGTACCGCGCTGGCACGAAAAAGTATCCCGGTCGTCCGGTGAATCGAAACGCGCGATACGTAATTCGCCCCATAGTTGTTATTATCGATTTGCGTAATCGCACCGATCCAGCTGAAATCGTTCCATAACAAGTGTTTCCGATTTCAAAAATTCCGAAAAAGACCGGTAACGCGCGCGCGTTGTTAGCACATTGTAAATTGACGATAAAGATTATGCGAGTTCCCTGATATTTGTCGGGCATTCTTCATCAAGAATTTATTATCATATTTCTAAACATAAATTAAATGCCCGAATTATTCTTATCGTATTACGCAACAATATATACGCTAAAATAGATAAACTCTTTCTCTATGCAATGAAATTATGACTGAGCATAGATTTAATTACAATGTTACAGGATCATCCGGGATTACGAGGCACGCCTCTCGCCATGTTGGCGGCTCAATGCAACAAGCTGAGCAGCAAGAGCCCGCCGCCACTAGCGGACGCAGCGGTAGGCAAGGGTTTCCATCCTTGGAAAAAGAGCCCGCAGAGCAGCGGCAGCTCGCCGCAGCATAGCAGCAGCGCTGGCGGGGGAGGTGGAGGAGGAGGCGGCGGTAGCGGAGGGTGCACAACGACGGGAGTGAGCCAGAGACCGACGGCAACGAGCAGCGCCGGGAGCACCGGTGGTTACGCCAGAGCGCCAGTGACATCATGCGCCTCGACTGCGCCGCAATACGGTAGCGAGTTATACTTTCCCGGAACAGCGAGCGCTCAACCGGCCGGCGATCCGCATCATCATCAGAGCAGTCTCTTGGGCAAGGTCGAGGGTGCGACCTTGGGCTCGGTATACGGTAGGCATCCGTACGAGTCGTGGCCGTTCAACGCGATGCCGGGCGCGACTCACGGCGGCATCAAAGCGAGCGATGGTTGGTGGGACGTGCACGGCGCCGCGACCGCCGGCGGTTGGCTGGACGTGAGCGGCACCGTTGGCGTCGGCGTCCACGCGGCGCAAATGGCCAATTACTCGGCCGACTACTCGACAAGCCTCGCGCTGGCCGGCAATCACTTGCTGACCACGGCCACGACCGCCGGTCACAATCTCCTACAAGACACGTACAAGTCGATGCTACCGGGCGGACCGCCCGGATTCGGGCTTCATCATCACGCGGCCGCGACGGCCGGCGCCGGCGCCGGAAGTCCGCAGGCCGGCGGCGGCGGTGGCAGTGTCG